TTTCATACAACAGCAAGGAAGCCAGTGTGATTGCAGTCAGTGGGTAAGAGGGAAAACAGTGGGGATTAAGTCAGAAAGAACAGAATCAGGTCAGATTGGATCCAAGAACTACCTGCTATTTATTTATTTATTTATTTATTTATTTATTTATTTATTTATTTAAAGACCTGTCGTTCCTAATGAGATGGGAAATCATTAAAGAGTTCTGTGGATTCTGGTTTGGGTTTTGTTGTTTTGCATTAAGACAGGTCTTACTAAGTAGTTCAGGTTGGCCTTAAACTCCAGATCCTTCAAGGGCTGGCACCACAAGCATGCCATACTACCATCCTACCTTGTGTTGTTTGGCAAATATAACTCTAGCTGCTGGGTGTAGAGTAGCTTAGGGTGGGGAGACAGACAAAATTAATTAGCACTAAAGTAATCCACAGACAAGAGATTAATAGCTTGACATAGTTCTTTTTGGTGGAGATGGTAAGAAGCTACATTCTTAACTTTTTAAAAAAATAAAACAGACACACTCTGTAGATGGGTTGGGTGTGGATGGAAAATGGTCAAAGACTATACAGTGTTGACCAAAGCAACTGGAAAACAGCTTCTGTTTTACGGTGGGGAAGGCCAGAGAAGAGCAAGTCAAACAGGTTGGTGGATAGGGATGGACACTGAAAAAACAAACAAACATTTGGTCTTTGCCAATTTGAGCATGATATTTCCATAGACATTGAAGTAAAGATAGAGAAGGTGTGAGTTGGACACATGAGAATGGCCTTCATGGGGTATCTGGGCTGGAAGTATAAAATTAGGCTGGTTACCATACAGACAATATATAAAGCCAGTTGGTTGCATGACATTACTTAGGGGATAAAGGTCTTTGAGTTAGTAGGAAAGTAGAGTAAATGCTTAAGTAGAGGTTTAATCTTTTTTCCCAACTACTACCTGAGAGCAAGCATATTAAAAAGTAGAAGTTTAGAAATAAGAATAATGGGGAGGAGAGATGCTCATCAAGAAACAACTTACGTTGCTAAACTTGACAACCTGGGTTCCGTACCCAGCGTACTGGCTAGTTTTATGTCAACTTGATGCAAGCTAGAGTCATCAGAGAGGAAGGAGATTCAGTTGAGAAAATGTCTCCATAACATCCAGCTATAAGACATTTTCTTAGTGATTGTTGATGGGTGGGGGAGGGCCCAGTACATGGTGGGTGGTAGCATCCCTGGGCTGACAGCTGGGTTCTATAAGAAAGCAGGCTGAGCAAGCCAGGGGAAGCAAGCCAGGAAGCAGTACCCCTTCGTGGCCTCTGCACCAGCTCCTGCCTCCAGGTTCCTGCCCTGGCTTCCTCTGGTGATGCACAGAGATGTGGAAGTGTAAGCTAAATGATTCCTTTCCTTCCCAACTTGCTTTTTGGTCATGGTGTTTTGTTGCAGCAATAGCAACCCAATAACCAAAAACCAATAGAAACTGGGTAACCCACAGGTTGAAGGAAAGAACCCTTGACTTTCAAAAGCTGTCCTGTGATCTCCTCCACACACATGCTGTGGCATATGCATAAATAAATAAATGTAATAAGTAATTGTAAAAGAAACAAGAATACATAAATATCTTTAGAATTGTAAAATGATGGTACTTTTATGAGGATGGTAAAGGTTTCTCCTCTCCAGTGTTCTCTTGATTTTTAATTGACCTCTCAGAAAACACTTAGGATACACTTCATTCTTCAGACAGTCTTTAAGCATCCTAATGGAAACTATGCCTTGTTTAATCTTCGTTATTTCCACTTCATACCATATACCATTTGATAGTGGAAAATGAATGGCTTACCATCTCCTTAAGCATTTCTTTTCTGGATAACAAAAATGGAGATACTATAATAGAGGGAGACATTTTAGGTTTCCAGAGAAATCGGGCACCAGGGAAATGTCTGGAGATTTACAAAGATGCCCTCACCTAACAATCTAAGCAACAGAGCAACAGAAGAGAGGCTACTTTAAATGCCCTCCCCTGATAATGAGATTGATGACTGACTTATATGCCACCTGATAGCCCTCATCCAGCAGCTGGTGGAAGTAGAAGCAGACACCCACAACTAATCACTGAACTGAACTGGAATCCAGATGCAGAGAAGGATGAGTGAAGAGCAAAGGGGTCCAGACCAGGCTGGTGAAACCCACAGAAACAGCTGACCTGAACATCGGGGAACTCTTGCTCCCTAGACTAATAGCTGGGATACCAGCATGGTACTGATCCAGACCCCAGGAACATGGGTTTCAGTGAGGAAACCTTGGAAATCTACGGGACCTCCTGTAGTAGTTCAGTACTTATCCCTAGCATGGGTGTGGACTTTGGGAGCCCATTCCACATAGAGGAATACTCCCTGAGCCAAAACACACAGGGGTGTGCCTAGGCCCTATCCCAAAGGATATGATAGACTCTGATGAGCAGAAAGGATATGTGATAGGTAGGGTTTTAGTTGGGGGGGGTAGTGGTGGTAGGGGAGAACAGGAGGGAGAAGGGAACTGGGATTGTCATGTGAAACAATCTTGTTTCTAATTCAAATGAAAAAATCTGCAAAACAAGAAAAAACAAAACAAAAAAGTAGTTACAAGCAAAAAAAAATTCTTTTTTCTTTCCCAGATAACTATTTATCCACCTTGGTTATACATTTTTAAAAAATGTATTTTATGTTTAATTATGTGTAATTGTGCCTGTGTGTGAGTATATGTGTATGTGAGCACAGGTACCCACAGAACACCACTCCCTTGAAGCTGGAGTTACAGGTGGTGGTGTTGACTCCACACAGGTGCTCCAAACCAAATCTGAGTCCTTTGCAAGGGCAACAGATATTCTTAATTGCTAGGCTATCTCTGTAGCCACACTGGGTATCTATTTTCAGTTTATTATCACTAGTAAAACTTCCCTTACTAATGCTTAATAAATCACAATAGATGTAATATTAAAAAAACAATATGCTGGATTATTTTTTCCAATTACTGGGAGAATTCAATACTGCTATTTTCATCAGTGCCTTTTTTTTATTAATCTTTTTTGAGACAGGGTCTCTCATGGTCTGGCTGTTGTGAAATTCACAGAGATCCAGCTGCCTCAGCCTCCCTAGTGCTGGGATTAAAGGTGTGCACCACCATACAATTTTGGTAAGAAACTTGCCCTTTCAAGGCCCAGTACTTTGGAAAATGAGTTAGTAAAGTCAGATGTTCTAAAACAAGAAGCCATGGTAACATAATCAACGATTTTCAGTGACAACCTGCTCTATACAGCTTGAAAACCTAGGAAGGTTATAACAAAGAAATAGGGAGACAAAGACTGGATAACTGACTCGAGAGTCTAGACTGCCCGATGACTGAAGAATGGAAAGAAAGCAGTCTTTCTAGACCAATAATAAAATTGAGTATTATTTTCTTATGATTAGTTTTCAAGCTATTTTGTAACAGTCACTTTTTTCCCAGGGGGAATCTTTATTCTGTTAACTCTTTGGTACTTCGTGTTTTCTGCCGGCATTGCTCACACACTGAGGCATTTTCTGACTCTCTTCTTCCTTGGTGAAAAGGCTGAAACTCCCTCAGAGACACTTTGCTCCCAGAAAATCCTTTCTTGGGGATGGGCAGAGATGGGTCAAAAACCTCGAAGGTTGTGGATCGATACCCACAGGCCTGGCACTGAGGCAAATTTTCAATTGTCCCACAAACAGGTACACAATCTAGCTGTCTTCTCGATCCAGGTACTGTTTCCACATTAAGTTGGTTGGGTCATCATCTCTTAATTCCGGTTCTTCACACAGAGCCTCTCCTCAGAGAGGTGGAGAGGGAACTGGAGCATTGGCCAGAACTGGTGGAGCCCAGCCAGGGGTATTGTTGTTTGATTTCTGAGGAGCTTCAGAAACTCCTGGGCATCTTGTTGGCTATGTCTAGAGAAGGAGGCAACGTATTTGTGGAAGACAGCCTGGAATGGAGTAGGATTTACAGTTTCACATGAGTCAGGGTGCCAGAAGGTACCTACATCTGCAACAGCTTCTGAGAGCTCCTGAGCTTGGCCTCCTCCAGGCATTTATTGCTAGAAATCCCTTAGAAGACAAAAGTCTCAAAGAGGTCTTGTGCTGCTCAAACATCCAGCATGGTGTGCAGGAACCATGTATGTGTCAGATTTTGGAGGCTAATATGGTAATAGTCACCTTTTAATCTCTTTTTATTTAGTATAATTCATTCATTTATTCATTGTTTTATTGGTGCTTTTAAAAATGTACTATATATTTTAAATTTGGGTGAAACTAAATTGCTACATTATAATCAGGAGAAATGAGACAGGTGCAAAAATCTATTTAATAATCATAATCTTAACCTGAAAATCAATAAAATTACAGAAAAACCCGTAAGGGAACAATGGTCTTTCTTTCTTTCTTTCTTTCTTTCTTTCTTTCTTTCTTTCTTTCTTTTCTTTCCTTCCTTCCTTCCTTTCTTTCTTTCTTTCTTTTTTTTTTTTTTCTGAGACAGGGTCTGGCCTTGAACTCACAGCAATCCTACCCTGACTCTGCTTCTTGAGTACTGGGTTGGAAGCATGTGCCACCATGCCCAGCCAGGAACAATTATTTTAATGAGCAGTATTATCAACATGTATAACAATGTTCTAAGTCTCTGACATTCTAAGAATATGTTCCTTAGAACGCCTACAGAGGGTTTTGATTTTCCACGCGCATTATAAATTAATGCCAATACTCAAGTGTCAATCTGAAAATGATAGAGCCCTGGTTATTCCTAGTTGCCAAAAATACCAACTATAATCCTGTTTTGTTTTATTTATTTTCATTATTCTGAGGCAGTATCTTACGCTATGACCCAGGCTGGCTTAGAACTCATGGGAGTCCTCTGTTTCAGCCTCACAAATGCTGGAAAGGGCAGGCAAGAGCTATCACATTAACCTTGTATTACCTGTTTTAGACTAACATTAAAGATACATTATTGTTATTTAGCTATTTCTTATTTTGACAAACTCACCTGGGACAAAAAATTCTGTTTGCACAAACCAGTGAAATTCCAGATGGAATCCTAAGCGAAAAGCCTTCCAGGTAACAAGGAAAATCAAATAGAGGACGGATACTGTACCTGTAAGGACAGACAAATTCAGAAACCACTTATCATCTTTGCATATCTTATGGACTACTTTAAAAAATCAGGAATAGAGAAATTATTTTCATTAATCTTACTAAAAAAGCTAGAATAAAAATTACACTTTTGAGTTATCAGAAAATGAAACAAAAAATTAGGTAGTAAGCCTAAGGAGACCAAGATCAGGCAACCTCACTAGTGCTCACTGATTGGGAACTATTTAGTTAACTTAGGAATTCAGTGTAAGCAACAACAGAATCCATTACAAAATTGTCAGTTATACAAGAGAAAATGCAAGCACACAAACCATGGAACCAAGTTTTAAGTGTTGGGAGACACTCATCACACTGGAAACGTCTAAGTTAATTTGAATTGATAAGAAAGTAAAGAAAGAGAAGTAGCAAACATTTGAGAAAGGTGACCAAGCAGCTAGTAGCTATGGGAGGCTCTGCCACACAGAATTTTTAGTAGTGTAGAAATTAGAGCATTGTTATTTTTTTTTAACTAAAATAATGTTTTCTGTAGTATTGGGAATCAAACTCAGAGCCTTGGTATACAACTGGGCAAGTGCCCCCTCGGTGAGCTGTATCTCCAACTCCAGGTTATTCACTACAGGAGACAATCAGATCCGATTCTGAATGCCCTTAGGTGCCAATGCTGTGAGGAAGTTACAGTTGGAATGTCTTGAAGTCTGGTTAGAAGCCTGAGGACCATGGTGTCTCGCTGAGCAAACCCTCTGTAAATTCATACGCTTGTGAAAGACTTGTTCCACTGGAAAGTTAGCAGCGAGTCAGGAAACCACAGGAGCTCTATAAGCTGGACTGTGGGTTTAGAGATTAGCTGATTCAGAAAGATGAAGACAAGAGGCCAAGCTTATGTAACAGCTCATTTTCTCCCTGTGTTCACACTGGCTTAAAGCATCCTGCTCTGAGGGAGACAGTCAGAGACACCATCTTTACCCCTTCCTTTCATCTCCTGGGACCCAGCTACATTTTTGATTTGTCTCTCTTAGTTCCTTGCTATGGTGGAATCTGACTATTGTGCACTACAGCTGCCTACTGGGAAAGCTTTGGAAGGGAGGTAAAATCCTACATACTGAGTTTAACAAGTCTTTGTAAGTGGTGTCTCCAGATTTCCTTTAGTTAACCAGATCTGACCTTTCACAGAAGGTCTTTTTGTCAACTTAAAAAGGTTCTATTTCCTCTAGCTGTACTCTGACAGGAAATAAATTGTTCAAGAGGGCTAGAATGGGAAACCTAGTAATTCATATCAAGAAAACCAACTCCCAAAAGGCAAAAGGAACCTGAAATAGTTGTGTCCATTTTTCTTTTAGAAAAACAAAAAGCATCAAAATTAAAGTATCATATGAGTGAACAAATTAAGTAGATATGAACAGCCAGGAAGGTAACTCTCTCCCCACTCAAACTTCTGAAGTCCCACAAAGCAGTACCTTACCTAGGATATTAAACTTGGAAAAAAACGAAGGAGATTTGAAGTTGAGCAGTGGCAAGAGGAGCCCTATAAGGTAGAAGGGCACTGTCTTGGACTTATTCCACCACTTTTCAAACTGCTGGACTTGTGTGTCATTGTAGAAAATCACAGAGCTGTTGTCAGGATGGCCACCACTCCCAGCACTTGGACAAATCACTGCCAAAGTAAAGCGCATGTCAGAGATTAGACCACACAAGCTGGAGAATCAGTATGCCCGGGTCTGGCGCCTGCATTGACTTCTGGAAAAGGGTTATAGAGGTGTTTTAGGAATCTTTCATCTAAATATAAATAGTGAAAAGTAAGGGAATCTTTAAAAAGATTGGATGTAGCATGCTCATGTATTAGGAACAAAAGAAAGACCCCATAAAATGCTTGGCTCTATGGCTGGACAGAAAATATTGGGCTTATGGTAGTTCAGTAGTATGAGATGTATCATGCAGAGTAATTGTTGGCATACAAGGGCCAAATAAGAGGCCTTTTTCTCTTAAAAATTTGATTAGATTATTATTTATGTGTGTGCATGTTCACCATAGCACACGTGCAGAGGCCAGAGGACAACTTGGCTAAGTCCATTCTCTCCTTCTACCATGTAGGTTTTGGGACTAAACTCATCAGGCTTAGGGGAGAAATACTTTTATTTATTGAGCCATTTAACTGACCCCCCTTTTCCTTTTATAATAAAAATATCTATGCGTTAGGGAATTAAGAGCAGAAATCCCTGATCACTAGTGAAAAACTGAAGAATTTGGAGTTTAACAATCCAAAATTATTCTGGAGTTTACCCCACTTACAGCAGCCTAAGAGTCTAGATGACACCTTGAGAACTGGAAGTCTGGAGAATGTTTGTCTTCTCTTTGCTTCCTCTCTTCTCTCTCAGCATTTATTTATTTATAACTTATTTGTTGTGCATTTACATGCCACAGTGTGTGGAAGTCAGAGGGCAACTTGAAGGAGCAGCTCCTTCTTCAACCCTGTGGGTCCGAGGGGTCAAGCTCAGGTCATCAGCCTGCTACCCTCTGAGACATCTCACCAGGCTTATTGTCTTGCTCTTTTTAATCTTTAGTCTTTTATGACACCAAGGCTCAGCCCCAGTGCTTCCCACGTGCCATGCAGGTGCACAACTATCAAATCACACTCAAATACTTATTTCTAAAAAATAAATCTATTCTGAAATGTACCATCAATAATTGTATAGCAGCCCAGTAATATAAGAACAATTTTTTCCCAACTATTTACCTAAATTGGGGTCATGAATTCTATTTTAAAATCGTTTTTGGGAGCAGGACTGGGGACAAGGAAACAAATTGAATTCCAAATTACTTACCAGGGTTGCTATTATTGGTTCTCAGTATAGTGTCTGTGTCATTAATGTGATGAATAACATCTGTAAGTCAAAGACAAACATACAGTTAAACAATGAATGAATGAACCATGCCAAATCCCATCATCATCTAAAGTCTTTTGTTTATAAACATGGTTATTCACTGTATATATATTATTGAGTACACTGAACCCAAGCTATTTCTTAGCTACATAGTTTCACTTTTAGTTTTCTTTGCCTACAGAAATGATGTCATTTACTTCACAGGCCCATATGGAAAAAATTTGCATAATCCAAGGTTTAAAAAAAAGCTACCTGAAAGACTGAATTAATGATAGTTAAAAGGTCTGGAAAAAAAAAGAAAGAGAAAAGAGAAAGAAAAAAAGTCTGGAAAGAAGATAAAAGTACAGTTACATTTTATATAAAGTTCTCAAGTATGCCAAAAAGGAACCAACAGCCATACATGAGCAAGCCTATGCGGAAAATTACTTAATGTTCTCGTGAGGTACAGTTCACACCTTTACAAAGCTAAGGCTGCATAGTAATTGTCATGCTTGTAAGAACTGCTGGGTTAGATGGAAGGAAGTACAAAAGATGAAGGCATGGATGTGCAGGTCCTGAACATGCATGCCATTCTATTGTGAATATGAGGTTGTGTAAACAGTGTGGTAGGTCTGGTTTTTGTTTGTTTTGAGATAAGGTCATGCTTTATACCTTAAAAAAAGAAAAAAAAAACCTATAGCTATAATATTTGAATTAGAGCAGAGAGGGCCATAGCATGGGGCTCATGGTTTCTCAATAGGTGTGATAATATTACCAAGGAGAAAAATTCATTCCTGAGAGGAGGAAAAAAAACTTTTTTTAAAAAAGCATAATGTACAGATAAATACACTTTATAAAATATCTGATATTAAAATTTCATTGGAGGGACAATTAGAGTAAAATGTCTAAAAAATATTCTCAAGGAGCAATATTTTTTTTAAAAGTGAGGGAGTTAAAAAACCCTATTGCAGACTATTCTAGAACAGAGCAATGTTGACAATTGTTAAGGCTAAGTGAGAGGAACATGTGGATTCCTTTTCCTCAGTGGGTTTTTTTTTTTTGTTTGTTTGTTTTTTTTTTTTGACACAGGGTTTTACTGTGTAGCCCTGGCTGACCTGGAACTCACTCTGTAGACCATGTTGGTGTAAAACAGAGATCTGCCTGCCTCTGCCTACCCCTCTCCCCAGTGCTGGGATTAAAGGTGTGCACCAACATGAGGATTCTATATAATTTTCTGTTTAACGCTTGTTTTTTTTAATAACAAACAGTAAGGTGTCAAGCAAAAAATTTTTCTAAAGTATATAAGACTTTTACCAAGAAAAACTTAAGATACATTAAACAGAAATTTAAACTATGCTATGATCATGAATAGGAAAACTCAGTATTCTAGCACAATTTCTTTCCACATCAATAAATGTAATGGAATTCTTATTAACCCTAAATCAATAGCCTAATAATACTAATTATGATATGTTGATTGAAATATTCAACGTAACTTTAACCAAAACCTAATTATATTGTTCTAGAATTTGACAAGTTGGTTCATTCTAAAATGTATATAAAAGACTTATGGACCTTGATGCAAAACAAAACAAACAAACAATAAAACTAAAAATGACTAATTTTAAAGTAAGATTTAAAAAAATAAAACAAAACCCTGAAAAGAACCACCACATAAAAAGTGAATACATTTTATTAAGATGTTTACATCATGATGGTGGATATGTGGTTAGTATATAATCAGAATTTGATCCCTGAAATGAAAGTGGTAGAAGAAGAGAACACACTTCTACAAGTTCTTTGATTTCCACATGTGTGCCCTGGCATGTGTGCATCCACCCACATACATACATCTACACCCCCCCACACACAATACAAATAAATGCCAAAAAAAGCTTAAAATGATCATCCTCCATCCAAGTTAAAAATATTATAAAAAATACTTGGATTGGGTTGTTAATGCCCTCTTCAGAATTCTAGAGCTGAACTGAGCAGGGAACAGTTCTGTGGTACATAAATAATATTTCTTTACTGTTTTATCCTTTCAGTTCCTACTATTTCCGTGAGTAAAATTCATTGACTGTTCAAACATAAAATTCTTCAGCAACAAATACCAGTGAACCTCATAAACTTCTCTGTTTCGGTACTAAAATGTTGTAGAAATACTTTATACTAATTAGAGATTTAGAAGGAATATTGCTTGTTAAAAGGTAATGCAGTTGGGGAGGTCATACACCCTGGTGTGGGAGTTACTGCTGTTGTTTTGCTAAATGGACATGATGTGCCTGTTAAACTGCCTCCTACATAACTATGTTTATGACCATAAAATGCCACCGCTGTCAGCTTTTGCCAGAGACGCTTCATTTTGCAGTGGTCAGTGGTAACTGTGGAGACTCATAACTGGCCAAAGTACTGAGAATAAATGGTTGTTGAATGCCTAGTCATAAGCAGGACAACTATACCACCCTCTCTATGGCTCAGGGAACATTCTGGAAGAGGGACCAAAAAACCCCTCAGGAGCCAGAGGAAGTCAGGGACAGAAGTCATTCTGGGCATGACATGTTTTTCCATTCTTGAAGATACTCACAGCAGTTGTGGTATCTTCATAAGACTGGGCTTGTGGATACACTTATACAGAAGGAGAAAGGGCTCTTGGGGCCCACCCCTTCATGAGAAATATATATGCAGGTAACCACTGATGGGGAGGGAGAGATGTTTTATTAGTGGTACAGACATTGCTAAAGTGTGTATGCTTCAGTAAACAAACTTTCACCCATGTTCGTGTAATCAACCCTAATGAAACTCACTGGGTGACCAAAACAAAGACATGAAAGTAGAAGGGAGCCAGTTGGGAAGAGGAAGGATACTAAAGGGAGTGGAAGGGAACAAGACAGCAGAACAGGAAGTGAGTATGGTTGAAATACATTTTTAAAAATGTCAGAATAAAACACATTATTTATATAAAAAATTAATGTTTATACTCATGATATTTGAGATCATAAGCATAGAAAAGCTGAATCAAACATATTACCCAGGATTATATAATACTTTACATATAAAAATGTAAGGCTAGAACAAAAATATTACAATAATATTTGAGGGTAACTTTGTTAAAAACTATATCAATACTTACTAAAAATAAACTTTCCAGTATTGAAAAGAAAATTAGACATAAGCACCCAATAAACTATCATTGCTCCAATAAGAGACACCAAGGAGAAAAGGAGACTCGACCATTGCCCAAAGGAGCCAAAATAATGTTTGCAGACATCTGGATATTCCCAGGTAGTTGTGTCCGATGTACCTAGATAAAAATGAAAGAGAATAAGACTAGATACTGGTCACATACTCTACATTTATAATTTGTATTCCCCAATTAATTCAAAATATTTAACAAAAGATTATGACTACTTTAACAACAAATACAAGAATGTATTATGGAAAAACTAGCAATTAGGATGTAATAAAACAAATGTGATCAGCAAATAGTATAATCTGAGAAACATAGCATCATAACTTTTTATAACTAAAAAGAACATGTGATAACCAAGAGTAGGAAACCTAATTAGTAAAAAAACAGAATACTCTCTTTTTTAACCAACTATTTTCTGATTGGATTAAGTCAAACCTATGCCTAACACTGTTATCAGGACCAAAGGTTTTGGGTAAACAGGTCATAGGCCATAGAGGTCAATCTAATACTATTATTCTACTAAATTGTTTTTCCAGTTGTAACTATATCATGGCTTGTTTTTTTTTAGTGGTGGATAAGTACATGAAAATGTATTTGGCAATAAAGTATAAAGCCCAATATGAAGCTTTACAGCTTCAGAATGGCTACTCTGACTGCAGAGATGTTCATTAAGATATATAGACTTTAGGTCTAGTTAATTTTGATTCATGACTTTCTTATTTAAAAGTTCTTTTTAATAAAGTTTTAATAAATGAATGAAAAAACAGAATACTCTCTTTTTAGTTTTTTTGGGATGGTGTCTTGCTGCACAGCCCAGGCTAGCTCCAAATTTACAGCAATCCTAATGCCTCAGCTTCCCAGATTTCTGGGATTGTGTTAAGTCATCCTGTTAGCTCATTTAAAACACTACTTAACAGTTAAACACTACTTAACAACATGAAGGAGAGTTGTCTGGAGTCATTTTATGCTATAAGCCAATTTAAATTTGAGGTAACTGAGTTAAGAATTTAAAAAGTAGCTGGGCGTTGGTGGCACACGCTTTTAATCCCAGCACTCGGGAGGCAGAGGCAGGCGGATCTCTGTGAGTTCGAGGCCAGCCTGGTCTCCAGAGCAAGTGCCAGAATAGGCTCCAAAGCTACACAGAGAAACCCTGTCTCGAACCTCCCCCCCCCCCAAAATAATTTAAAAAGTAAAGCTAGGCAAAAAAGTGCACACCTGCAGTTCCAGACTTCAGGATGCCAAGGCAGGAATATGTGAACTCAAGGCCAGCCTGGGCTATACAGTGAGTTTGTGAACACCTGAACAACATAAACATAGCAAGACAAACAACAAAGATTAACAAATTAAAGTTAGAAAATAACATAGAAATCTAATATGAAAGATTATCCTTTTATGAACTATACAAGAGACAGAACTGCTTATGAAAACCATTCAAACACTGAGCGAGAAGGAAATTCATAAGAAATTATTGATAAAAACTAATTGCAATATCATATAAAGTACTTAGCAGAACTATAAAAGCACTAAGGAACTTGGGGATAAAGAGAAAAAGAATACAAACACATGATACAATTAAAGAAAATCACACCACTTTGCAAGCCTAAGAAACACAACAAAACAGAACCATTAACGTACAGATGGTACTGCTGGGAATAATCACAGCTCTTAGAAATAAACTTAAATTTAGCAATTGTCTTTTCTTTTTTTTTTTTTTTTTTTTCCTTTTTTTTTTTTTTTTTTTTTTTTTTTTAAATCTGGATTGGACCCATGTAGCTGTGCAATGCCAACCCTGTGCTCTGCCACTGAGCCCACACTTTTCTCTCTCTCCTCTCCTCTCTCTCTCTCTCTCTCTCTCTTCTTTCTTTCTTTCTTTCTTTTTTTTTTTCGAGACAGGGTTTCTCTGTGTAGCTTTGGAGCCTGTCCTGGCACTCGCTCGTAGACCAGGCTGGCCTCGAACTCACAGAGATCTGCCTGCCTCTGCCTCCCAAGTGCTGGGATTAAAAGCTTGTGCTAACAATGTCAGGCCCATTGTTCTTTTCTTTAGGGGTCAAGATTTAAAGAAAATAACTTAAAAAGATCCACAAAATATGTATAAATTATTTTTAGAAGAGTATTACTTAGAATATTAAACAATAGAGGATATAAATGTGTTACAGTACACAATTATTAATCAAATACAATAGAGCCACAATGTACAATGCACAGTCATTTAACCAAACATCAAAGATAACAATGGTGACTGCACCCACAGAATTCCCTTAAACAAAAGTGATGGAGTGGGAGACAAAATTGTAATAAAACATATTAAATGATAAGAATGTATATAAAAAGAACACAAATTATTTGTTTTTCTATGGTTGAGTTATTGTAATAGTACTTTCTTTGTCTTGATATTTTGGTACGAAATAAGAACAGAGATAGGTATGACATAAGGATTTTATCACTGTAGAATACTGCTGGTCCTGATTTAAGGATAAACAGTCTTTAATTTGTTAAAGTAGTATTTTCCTTAGAACTTTACTAAGGATGCTGAACTCCATCCAATGCTTTTGGGGGTGAATCTATTGATGTAATCATGGATTTTACCTTTATTTTGTTAATGTAGTGAATTGTGTTAAGTTTCTTAATAGAGCATCTTTCTTGCTTCATCAGAATAAACCCTATTTTAGACACAGGATATTATTTTTGTACATGACTGATTCTACAAATAATGTTTTGTAACTGTTTTTTTTTTAATGTCTTGTCAGGCTTTGCTTTGGGGTTCTGTAGACTTTGTAAAATGAACTGATGCAAGTTCACCCTTTTAAATGGGAGCATTTAGGAAACACAGGTGTTACTTGTAGCAGTCAGAAAGGAGTATAGGGGAAGCCATGTTTCCACCACACAAACAACCTGATGTAAGTTCCTCACTTACTGCATGTGTATAAAGAGTTCTCATTTCAGTCATAACCAAAACCACAGAAACCAAAGGCTAAACAAACTCAACTGGGAACTTGAATGGCTTTTAAACAAAACTTCTCCCAAGATTTTAAACAATACTCCACAAGTGACTAAGACTAGGTTTAACTAAAGAAAGAGGCTGCAAACTAGAGGTTGATTGGAACATGCTAATAAGACTGAATGAAAAATACAAGTCTGTGTAGCCCTAAAAGTGCTTATATGTTTTTTTATTTTATTTTTATTTTTATTTTTTGAGACAGTCTCATGTAGCCTAGGCCGGTCTTTAACCCCCTATGTAGTTGAGAATAACTTGGAATTCTGAGATTATAGGCATGCACCACCATATTCAGTTTAAAATATGTGAAAATGACTTAAAAAGATGTCTCTGTGTAGCAGCACACACCAGTCCAGCTGCTTGGGAGAATAAAGTAGGTGTGGGCTGGGTGGCATCATTTCTACTCAAGAATGAAACTAGCCCTAGCAATCCAACAAGACCCCATTTGAAGCTTAAAAACAACAAGAAGAAGATTATCTTCCTGATCCTCTGATCCAGAATTTATACAAATAAGTAGAAGAAATGTGTTTATACAACTTCAAGAATTGCTTACACTTGGATATTTTCCGTTAATACTTTATGCTTTTAGGTCTGCTATGTATAGGTCAAAACAAACAATAATTGGTAAGAACCATAGAGATCTTAATAATTCTGACAAAGGCTCTGTTTTAAAAGTATAACATTTTGGGGACAATGAGAGGGAGAGGCAATTGCCACCAAACTTGAGAACCTAAGTTTAATCTCTAGGACCCCGATGGTGGAAGTAGAGAAAACTGCCTCCATCAAGTAGTCTTCTGATGTCCATATGCACTCATACACACAGTAATAAAATGCAATCATTTCTCTAAATGACACTTTTATTATTCTTATAAGGACATCAAGCATTAATTTGTGCGACAATGTATTTTTACTTACATATCATACTCCGTGATTTCACCACTCTATAGCAGCAATACAGTGTCAAAAGGCCCATCAGCACGATGACACACATTCCAGTAGTGAATCCAGCCTTTTGAAAGATAAAAAGTTGGGTTCCTTTCACTATGTAAGAATAACTTCATATGCAATTACTTGTTACCCTAAACAAATAATTTATCATAAGATAAAACTATGACAACGGAAAAATGTAAAGACCATCTGCTTTTTAAAGAGAATTTTATGTAAATAATAAAACAAAATATAATAGTCATTTTTTTTTTATAGTGCTAGTAATTGAACTCAGGACCTCATGTAAGCTAGGAAAGCATGTTATTATTGAGCTTTATTCTAAGCCTCAAAGTTATTATTTAATTAAGTTATTTATCTATTTTGGAGACATATGGAATAAAAAAGGGGTTGGCTTAAAGTTTACTATGCAGCCCAAACTGGTCTTGAACTAATGATTCTGTCACCTTAGCCTAAGTGTTGGGATTACAGGTATAGAAAAGAATTTCAGGGGTTGGAGAGATGGCTCACCAGTTAAGAATGAATGAATACCAGCCTTTCAGAGCTGGGCCTGGTTCACAGCAGCCACGTTGGGTGGCTCACAACTGCCTATAACTCCAGCTGAAGGAGGAATCTAACCTCTGACCTCCATGGACATAGGTACTTTGCATATACCCACACTTAGACTCACACATTTACACAATTAAAAATAAAAATAATTAATCTTAAGAAATTTTCAGATTAAAGTATACTCAAAAATTATCTTACCTGTTTTATGCCCCAAGGAATACTTAGTATAGATGTTCCCATCATGGTATTCCAAATCATAAAACTGAAAGAGTAAATACCAGTGAAAATATGAAGTTGGGCTCCTTAAACATTTTAAGACAGAACTAAACAACCAGTTATTTTCACTCATATAAAGTTTAATTCACACTCCAAGAAGTAGTTTTACTCACATAGTTACTAAGCTGGTGTTTTTACCATAGCCTTCAGTGTAACTCTGGAGTTTATAGGCAGAGCCCAGTGGACTGTACACATAGCATTCCTCTGGGGCTGGGACTACGTGGTCTGGAGCAATCTTGGAGAAAAGGAGAGACTGATTTAGACACACTTCTAAGATTGACATTGACCTGGAACAGGTGGGAGGCTCTGGTTGATGGGCTCCTTGCAGGGCAGATGCAAGGAAGGTACTTGGCTAGTACACATCTGGGCCTTTGTGAGCCCCCCCCCCACTTCAAATGTGTGATCTTCCTGTCTTTGCTACATGGGTGTTGAGATTATAAAACCCCTCCAGCATGCATATCTTTAAGACATTTCTAGATATATTTTTAAGTATTGTGAACATTTAACACTATGCATCCCTGACTAAGGAATTAAAAGTTATTTTTTTCAAATATAGTGGTAGATGCAAAGGAGCAAGGATTTTTCTCTAACCATCAAAGTACTTTTCACACTCATGAGTAGAGAGAAGCAAAGAATAAAATGAAACTGTCTACGGAGTAGGCCATCCTTATGTGAGGAGCTTTTTAAGAACTGGGTGGTGTTTCTTAACTCTGAGGTGAAGGAGGTTTAGAAGAAACAGACTAAAGAATTGAGGAGCTAATGGATAGTAAGTAAATAAACAGTATATAGACTAATTTTAAAATTCTTCGAGTAAAAGACAGGCAACAAAGTAGCTTAATGAATGGTGAAACAAGGATTTTAGGAGCAAGGACATTTAAGTATATAAGCAAAAGGGAAGGAGGCAACAGAGAAGTATCAGATGTAGCAAAGAAGACTGAAGAGATGTACCTTATACACTTATTTCTCTTATTACTTCCTACATTTTTTCTAACTCCACCTTCCTAATTTGGAGGGGAAAACCCATTCTGTTTCCATGATGATACTGCTCATCTCCTGAAGGCTGTTCTTGCAGAAGAGGAAGTCCTTAAAGGCATGGAATCTGATGAGTATGAGTATGAACTAGTGTGGATCTTTTAATACTTAACACCTACATAAAAATTTGCAACTTTGTGCTAGGTTTCTTATTTGAGTGAACTAACTGCCTCATACTGTCTCAAATTCCAGTCGGACATGTGAAACAATTAGACAAGACTAGAAGGCATGATAAGATTAAGTGTTCAACTCTGTGCTTTTCTATCTCACTGGATAAAAAATGAGAACCAACATAGGTAGGGGAAGACTTCAAGGAAGAGATGGAGTATCAGCCTTAGTAGGAAGAAAGGACATAGAATTAGTACAACAATGTCACATCCTTCTCTTCTAATGCAGTGAGATTAATGGTGCCTTTGTAGGAAAGAATATCCTGAATGCTATGTGTGGTGTGTGGCTTCAGAAACAACTAGTTCCCAGAGATACAGACAAAAATACATAAGAAAATTGTCCTTTTCCTTCTCTTCACCCACACTCTTCTAAAATCTAGATTATCTTGTCTTCTGCTATGAGTAAAAAGAAAAAAAGTATAAGACTATGTATGCTACATCAAGGAAAAACACTATACCTGACAAAGCAAATTGGGGATAAAAACAAGTAAAATCAAAACTTATAAGGAGCATAGTTCAATAAGAGGTAGAAAATTCTGGTTGTGTTCTCACACTGCTGTACACAAAAAGGAAGAATGAACCTACTCCATGTACACATCACCTAACTCTATGTCCTGTGCTCAGTCTCTGGGTCTGGATTATGCATGGGAAGATGTGGAAGACAGGGGTGTGCTTAGGAGGCATGGAAAACTGGAGGGCTGGCTCTCACTGTGGCTGTGGTCTAGGGTGGCATTTTCATCTGAATGTTCCTATGACACACAGAAGGATCTTGCTGACATGCGGACTATGCTTCACTGGTTCTGACTAAGCCCCACACATTCCTTTTTACTAAGCTCTCAGTGATGCTGATGATGCTGATCTGTAGATACACGTGTTTATTAACAAGGATCTAGGAGATGCTGTCAGACAACTTTCTCCCCTCTCCATCTTCGAATAACAATAATGGGAGTTTTCATAAATGAAAAGGTTTTACTCTATGAACATTTGGTCACAACAATTTATTAATCTTCTCCAAAACATACTTTTAGGGAAAATGACTTTTGGATTTTTAGAAAATGAATGTGGATGGTTATGCAAATTCGTTAGAAATGGGTCCATCAGTTTGGTGACCATTTAGATGTATAAAAGTTATCTCAGTGTCAGTTAACAAAGTGTTACAACTCAGTGTACAATGTGATATTCATTCTGTCCTAGATGACATCTCTGAAGTCTGTTTCTAAGATTATAGCATTTGGAGAGTCTGTCAGACAATAACCTCAAATCTCCCAAAGATTTAGATAATTCTATAATGGACTTCACAATCAATACTACTGTAAAGTCCTGGGTGGGAAGAGGGGAATAAAAACAAAAATTGTAAAAAATTATTCTGTACATAATATTTCAGAAGTCTTCTCTCGGGATTTTAGAGCCAGTTCATTCCTGGAATCCAAGGAGAGAAGGCAGGGAGCATAGAGAGTTGGAGATCAGCTTGGACTTCATGAGACGCTATTTAAACAAAGACAAGATCTTAATGCTTTCTTCACATAGCCATTATGGGATTAGGTCAGATGGCCATGGTCAGGTGGTACCCACTCCTTGCCCTTGGCAGACATCTAGTGAATGTTAGAGGCCACTTGCTTTTTTCAGTTTTGCTACTAAGATTGACTTTTACCATATTTTTTTAAGCTTTCAAATTTCTGAGTATCTCACAGCTGATCATTGTTATAAGCAACAGATTACTTATACATTTTTATATTCTAAAATAATAAGACATACTTCAGAAAATCATGAATCTATAAGCTATGGCCCCTAATGCTAATCTGACCTTTATTATATTTTCAGTCCTTTCCTAATTTTTAAAAAATATTTATAAGACAAAACAATGAACTGTAATAGCATGTGATCTGTAAAGGCTAATTTTTTATTTATAAAAGGAAAGGCTAAACAGGAAACTATCAGGTATATATATGAACATATTTGTTTTTTACTCCTAAAGAAAATGTATGTAAATTTTTTTCCTTTGTAGCTTCACTTAGAAATTAAACAGACTAGCCAGAATCTTACGTTGTTAGTCAATGATCTAAGCTGTTGTTTCAAAAGAAATTTGTCTTCCTCAGAGCTCTTAGTATCTGAGATAAGCAAAAATTAAAAACAAAGAAGAGTGCTCCAAGTTATTGTCAACAGAGTTTCAACAATGTCTATGCCAGAGTAGATAAGAATGAACAAGCCTGAAACACATATTAACTACTACTTTGACTTTGCATGATGCTATCTTTGGAATACCCCCATCAAAAGGTTCAACCTCTGGGAGTTGCCCTGGTTTTTGGTGTTTACTGTTCATTTCAACACAACTTTAGACAAGCAGCAGAGCTTTGCCTCTTACCAGCGCCTTGTCTGCAGGAGTGGTGAGCCGGCTGTAGTAATGAATCCGCTTGTTCAGAGCAGAGGCATGGTCACTAACCCTCTGAATGACACCATTCACATTGACGATGTTTGTAGGCTCTATATAGAAAGGCCTAAAGAAGGGAATATATACTTGACAAAAAACGTTCAGGCAAAAATTCTGGAAGTCAGCCATTGCAGGGAATAACTTCTTGTCCTCCATTTGAAATGGGATGCACAAAGGCAAGGCATTCACTTCTCACTTTTGGTGGGAAAAGAAAATGTCATAAAAGAAGTATTATCCTACCCACAGAATACAGCTTTTGTTTCATAATGCTTTTATTTTAAACACACTTGAATCTTAAGGGGTTTAGCAACAGAGGAGAGAGAGCAGAATAAGTTTAACAAGTCATTAATGTGAAATATAGCAAAGAAAAACAAAATGTATCAGTTGTTGTCTCCAACAATGTGGCTTAGAAACAGCTTTGATTAGTCTTTTAAAATACTTCTGGCACCATATCAGAGAAATTATAGACAAAAATGTCCTTTTACTGAAGAGCCTCTACTCCTTCTATAAGCCAAAGTTACTTCCTTTGACAAACAAAATCCCTGCTTCTTGGTTCATATCCTAATCAACCTCTTTCTTTGTGTGACTATCCAGAGTGGGTCAAATGGAGCATCATGGCACTAGAGAGATTGTGCTTCACTTACTTTCCTTGGATCTTGTTGCATACTCTACTACCTATTATGTACGTGTTTGTTTCCTCCCTGACTATGTCCTGATGAACTGCAGACTCTGGATTTCAACCAGCGTCTCCAGTCAGCCCCTTAGTGTCTGTCTTTCTGAAAGTCCCTCACTTGCCTTCTAAGTTTTCAGTAATAAACAGTCCAAATGGAAAGACAAGGTAGAATTGCATGGAGCATTGCATTCCTCTGCCAAGTCTCAGACCCTTTGCAGTGGGAAATAACACCGTGCCCCAAACTGTGGCTGTTACTTTTTCACATTATACACTGGAAAGAATAATGAAAACCAAACCCCACGAGACAATCCTGCTCTCACACGGCTCTTTTGCACTCCCAGTTCTGAGAGAAGCTTGTGACACACTGAGGTTGGTTACTGACTTGGGAGACTGCTGATCTAATCTTGTGGGGTGCAACTGAAAATCCAAGTGAATGAAACTTGGATTTCTGCTATTTTTCTAACAAACTCTGTTGATATGGTAGGTGTTGAGTTTAGTCTTCTCTTTCTGACATACAGAACCTTTGAGTCACTTGTTATTTATTCTCCATGACAACAACCAAATAAAGATATCAACTAGTCAATTTAATGAATAGTAGCTAGAGTACTTATAAAAGCAAATACATGGCAGTGAGATCAACATGACATATTATACATCAAACATACTGGCTAATGCATTGAGTGCTATCCATAAATTTTAAGGGGATATAGTGAAAATAAACCGGTAAAAGGCTAAACAATCACTACATATGCCTAATATAACCACCACTCTCCCTAAGTGTTGTGATGTGATAAATTATTTCTATTTCTACCATGACACTCAGTGATACTTAAAGGCAATGTAAAAATATTGATATCTGGGGTTAGGGTGATGGTCAGTTAGTAAAGTGCTTGCCACACAGTTTGAGGAACTGAATTTAGATCTCCAGCATACACAGACAAGCACAGAGGCCATGTCTTTAGCCCAGTTCTGGGGAGGAGACAGAAACAAGTAAATCCTTGGAGCTCACTGGTTGGCCAATCTGGACAAATGGTGAGTTCCAGGTTCAATGAGAAACCCTGTCTCCAAAGAAAGGGTGGAGTGCAATGGAGGAAGACGTTCAGCATTGACTTCTGGCCTCCAATACACAGACACACAGACACACAGACACAGACACAGACACAGACACACACACACACACACACACCCCTGGTAGATGCTACATTGGAAAGCTAACACTCTAAAGGACATTCCTGCAAGATCAATGCAAATAAAATTCAAGAATGCTAACTTAACACAGATACTTAGGCTACTAAAAATTAGGTCTAATATAGGTAGAAAGAGGTATAGATATTATTGTAGCTTTTTACTCTGAAATCCAATGGTATTAGCATCAACCTCTGGGTTGGTTTGAAGGTCTGCTGAAAAGCTGTCTGGGAAGTGCTAGATTTCTTGGCTCCTGCCTCTGACTGAAGCGTTAACTGTACCAGTTTAGTTGGCTCGGGTACTCTGAGAACAGAATGACTTTGAAAGTTTTTCTTTTCCAACCGTTTTCATCGAGATGTTGAGTGCCTGTTCAAACAAATATTTTGGAAGTTTTTCAAAACAGATTCTCTCTAAAAATATACGATTCAGCATATTTCAGTGAATTATTAGAAACACATGTCTAAAGCTTCATTTGAGAAAGTGAAAATAAATTTCTAAAGTGAACTTTAGTTGGATCTTAAAATACTTTAAAAATGAAGAATACTACACAGAAGACAGTGCTCAGGATAAAAAGACTAGAGCTTTCTTCTTTGAACACTTTCATTTGACTGTATCTATCAGTGTTACTTGACATTTGACATGTAGTTCATCTGTAGCCACTGAAAACAAAGAGGGCATTTTTTTTTTACCTTGTAAATATTTATGGTTATACCAAAGAAAAGTATTTTAATACTGAGGAGAATTTATAAAATGTTTAAAAATATGATTCAATTCTCATGTGTTCATTTAATGTACTTATAAACAAAAACCCTCACTCCTACTAACACCTTTTTTAGATTCTACTCCTTAAATTCCTTAAAATCTTTCGGCTTTTCAGTCTGTCTCCACCCTTCTACTGCCTAGCCATGCTTCTGTGAGGTTAAGTAACAACTCTATGATTCATGGGAAGACTAGTACCCAGTATGGAAAACTTGATTTGAAATTGCCCACTTATTCATATCCCTATGAAGTTGAGGAATTCCAACACCTGACAGACAGGTGGGGTAATTTGTTTAAAAAAATGACAAGGCAATCAAATATTCCAGAAATGTTATACAAACAAATTTTCAAATAACAAGCCCACTGTACTTGCTTCTACCTGCTTGGTAAAACACATTAAGTTTCAATAAAAAGTACAAAAAGAAATGACTCAGGCCATTGAATCTAGAGAGTCCTTCTGCTCCTAGGGGATGAGGGTGAGCACTGGCCTACTGGCATGTTTCTCACTTCCTCTGGAATGCATACAACATCATCTGTGACAATAATCCTGCTCTACAATCCAGCTTTAAACACAGTTGCAAAGGCTGGGTCTATATAAGTTTCTTCTCTACTTTGGCTAGTTTATTGTTATTAGTCTTCAAATTATTGAATAAATATTATTTAAGTTCCAACCAAGTAGTAGGCATTTGTGTGAGATATTAAACAATGAATAAATCATAGAACCCCAATGACTGTACAGTAACCTGCTGCAGAGATACATAAATAAGCGATTTAGACCCAAAGCAAGAAACCACGTTTCCACATACAACAACAGGAGCAAGGCAATGAGGAGGACTGTGTGATGCTTGATGCTTGGTCTATGTGAGCAATGGGGTAAAGGACACAGAAGAGGGAACTAAATCATCTGGTAGAACTTTGAGGAAGTTATAGGTGAGCTGAATCTTAAAGTCTGAAATAAAGGAGTAAGTCAGATATGGGCAATAGGAGAAAAAAAGTGTTTCAAAGAATGGAGACTAGGAATGAAACTCTCATGCCCAACATGTATAAAGCCTTAGGTTCATTCCCTGAACACACACAACACAACACAACACAACACAACACAACACAACACCACACACACACACACACACACACACACACACACACACTCACTCATACATACAGAAGACAGAACCAAAAGGAAAAAGTATAAAGGTATATTTTAAAAAACACATGTGGGTCAGTATATGAAGAATTTCATGTGCTAACAAGACTTTAGTCCTAAAGGAAACAAGCTTTCATTTCTGTTTCTCTGATTAATTCTCAAATCTCTAAGGGTGTCATGGAGTTCATAGGCATTTCTCTATTCTCACTCCATTGATGGGTTCATCATGTAACTTAAATTCATGCATATGCTGTCCGGACTGAATGGCTGTCTTGCGTATCCAACTGTTCCCCACTGTGTCTCCCTTATCCCATCTGTTGGACTTTACTGCCTACCTCATTAGCTTCCTCACCATCCCTGAAACACTATGAGCCCACAGCCTCTTCAGGACCTTTGTTATTAATTTCAGGTAAAACAAAGTCTACGAAGGCCTTTTATCTAGATACCTGCACAGCTTATTCTTCATTTCTTTCAGCTCTTTCCTAAGCTGTTCCTTGCTCAAAAAGGCATTTGATTATTATGTTCAACACATATAAAATTTCAACCTCTTCTACACCCTTGCTATCTACCTCTGCTCTGCATTTTCTCCATTATAGTTACACTACCTACTATGACAGACAAGTAATTTTTGGTCCCCTCTGGTGAGATGCAAGCTCCATTTAGGCAGAATTTTTTGGTCAGGTTGGTCACTAACATATTCTTAGAGCCAATAGTTGTATTTGACATAGGAGCTCTACAAAATTCAGTAAGTGGGGGTTGAGAATTTATCTCAGTGATAGGTGCTTGCCTAGCAAGCACAAGGCCCTGGTCACAGTCTTCAGTTCTGAAGAAAAAAAATGTGGTAAGGGAATACAGAATAAACCAATACCTTAAGAAAAATGTGTGTGTGTGTGTGTGTGTGTGTGCATATTGTGCATGTAGATGTGTGCATGTGTGTGCATGCACGGAGACTAGAGGTTGACACAAGGGGTCTTCCTCAGTCAGTCTCCGTGTTATTTGTTGAGAGGATGAACCTGGATCTCATCAGGTTGGCTAGGCTGACTGGCCAGTGAGCTCCATTGCTGGGATCAGACACCTACTCCAGCTTTTACATGGTGCTTTGGATCCAAACTCAGGGTCTTGTGCTTGTGTGCAAGCACTTTTATGGCATGAGCCACCTCCCCAGGTCCAAGGGGAACGTTATTTGGAAATAACTTTAGATTGCTACACAGAAATTGGAAAAACAGTACGGACAGTTGTGTTTCCATAAACCTGGGTTCCCCTACTGGTGGCATCTTCAATAATCAGAAGATAAGCTAATGAAAAA